CATTTATACAATCCATTTAGTTGTGAATCATAACTATACATTTTTCCCATGTTGTTGCTTTCAGGCTTATCAGCTCCATCTGCTCGCAAATTCCTGCGCAGAAGCGCATAAAAGACCGTGGCTGGGGCAGATGGGGCTGTTGAGCCTTACGGTGCGGTCAAGTTCTCAAGTTCTCCCGATAAATCATTGGTACGTTTGAGTCCCGCGTGGCACATAGAGAGAGTTCGACCAAGAATCGCTGCACACGTTCTTCGCGAAAAGGGAGACTCAGAAGGTGACCTACAGCAGTGGAGGGCGACATACGGAAATCGACCATGTATGTGCTCGTAAGAAGATCATCCCTCAAACTGTGAAGGACATCAAGGTACTCCCTGGCGAATTGGCTCCCAGCACAGGCCCCTCCTGGCAGACATTGCCATGGACCTCCCAAGAAGACAAGGGTAAGAACCGAGAGGAGAATCCGGTGGTGGAAGTTGCACCAAGCGGAGAAGGATGACCTCAAACGAAAGATAATGGAAGTCGGTCTCCCAGATCCTAACGGGCCAATACAGCGGACTTGGGGCAACGCGGCTGAGACCATCCTGCGATGTGCCAAGGAGGTACTGGGCGAGACGCGAGGTGGATTCAGAGGAGACAAGGCAGCGTGGTTCTGGAACGAGGAGGTCCAGCGAGTCGTGAAGCAGAAGAAGGAGCATACAAGCGCTGGCAGAAGACCCGGAGCCCCGAGACCTCGCTGCCTACAAGAGTTGCAAGAGGCTCGCTAAGGCTGCCGTCGCCAAGGCAAAGAACACGGAGATGGACGCCTTGTACGAGAAGTTGGAAAGCAGAAACGCAGAGAAGTTCGTCTTCAGACTGGCTAAGGCCCGGCATCGGCTACTCTAAAGACGTTTCTGCTTAAAGGTATCCGGGTGGTGAAGAATGTGAAAAGCAGCAAAGGCAGTCGAGAAGAAGCAAAAATGAAGGTTGGAAAGGCGGTTGGTCCAGATGGGGTGCCAATTGAGGCATGGAAGGCGCTGGGTAACTACGGGATAAGATGGCTCACACGATTCCTCAACATTTCCCTGGAGAAGGCGTTCGACCGGCTACCACGAGCGGTACTATGGAGAGCGCTTAGGGAACGGAACGTGCCAGAACACCTGATCTCTCTGGTGAAGGACATGTACGAGGGGCTAAGGCAGCTATACGCACCCCACACGGCCTAACGAAGGAGGTGGACATCACGGTTGGGGTGCACCAAGGGTCAGCTCTGAGCCCGTTCCTCTTCCTCCTAACACTAGATGTCCTGGTGAAGGGGCTCATGGAAGGACCACTGAAGACCATCCTCTACGCTGACGACATCGCCCTGATAGCGGATAGCAGAGAGGAACTTCAGCCAAGGTGCAGAAATGGCAGAAGTCCTGGCAGAAGGTGGGCTACGGCTGAATGTCAAGAAGACCAAGTTCCTGAGCTCTGAGAGGGTGCAGAGCCGATCGTGGACGGCCATGGTGAAACCATCGAAAGAGTGGAGGACTTCCGATACCTTGGGAGTGATCTGGCAGCCGACGGCAGTGTGGAGGCAGTAAGGGGAGGATCAACGCGGCATGGATGAAATGGAGGGAGTCCACTGGAATCCTCTGCGATCGAAGGTGCTCCAGAACGCTCAAAGGGAAGGTGTACCGGACAGTGGTAAGGCCTGCGATGCTCTACGGCAGCGAGTGCTGGCCCCTGAACAAGAATCACGAAAGGCAGCTTCACTCGCCGAAATGAGGATGCTGAGATGGGCCTGCGGCTGGACGCGACTGGACAGGGTCAGAAACGAGGATGTCAGAGCGGTCATGCAGACTGCCCCTGTCCAGCTGAAGGTGAGGGAAGCAGCGACTGCGATGGTATGGGCATGTGCTAAGGAGGCCACAGGGCCACCCGATAAAGAAGCGATGGACTTCGAAGTGCAAGGCAAGCGACCGCGAGGAGCCCCAAAGAAGAGGTGGAAGGACGTGATCAAGAAGGACCTAAGTGAAGTCACGGCCACAGCAGAAGATGCCCTAGACAGAGCGAAGTGGCGACGACTGACAAAGACAGCGGACCCTGCGACTGCGCGGGACTAACGCTAGGGAAGCGGGCTGAGGAGAGGCACCAGATACAGTAGTGGCCAGAAATTTATGAACAAACGGTTTTTTCATGATTTCTCTTTTGAAAGTCACTGGAACGTCTCCAAATTTGCAACAATTATTAACTACGTGTTTTATGATCCACACAGAAAATTTCAACCTTCAGCTCAAATTTGGGTTTAGAAAATTTTAGATTTTTCGAAATTAATGAAGGCAGGTGAAAGATCACTTGATCCGTTTATTTGATTTAAATAATGTATAACCCAACAGAACAGTCAAGTAAACAGTCACTAACATTAAGCAAGTCTAGCACATTGCCCAGAACTCTCTAAAGTATTGGATACATAAACTGGATTTGAATGCGGGGTCAACTAATGAACTCACTCTCTAGTGGGGTCTCTCTCTGTAGTCCCGTCTTTTCGTGGCTCTTTCATTGACATACGAATTTGTAGGTCCTCCCCTAGTGGTTCTGTAATGTTTGGCTCAAGAGTCTGGCCTGGCTGGTCTTTTAAAAGCACCCCATGCTGTCGAAACCACTCCTGCATGTGAGAGGCCCGATGCTTTGAGTCGCTGCTCTGCCGACAGACAAAGTCAGGTCGGGCGGCAGCCACGCCTACGGATACATGACACCTTCCAAAACATGACAGCAAACGTCTGCCTTCATCGCTACCTCAGTCGTGTAGCGTGGTCCCACTTTTTTCCAAGGCAACCTTATCAAGCCTCCGCCAAGTTTCACAATTGGCAGCTGATTCTTTGGATCAAAACGTTCCCTCTCGTGGTGCCGTACATTACTAGTATCCTTGCTGTCATGCATCAGTAATATGTTTTTGTCATTCCAGATGACCTTAGAAACCTGTATCAACCTTCGTTTCAGGCTTAGTCAATCACATTCTACTCCCACCCACTTCACAGCGAGCGCTCTTCTTAGACTTTGAGAACTAAGGAATACGTAGTATAGACTTAGATTCTAGAAGATGTTATGTATCCGTAGACATGGCTGCCACACGACCTGGCTTTGTCTGTCAGCAGAGCAGCGACTCAAAGCATCGGGCCTCTCACATGCAGGAGTGGTTTCGACAGCATGGGGTGCTTTTAAAAGACCAGCCAGGCCAGACTCTTGAGCCAAACATTACAGAACCACTAGGGGAGGACCTACAAATTCGTATGTCAATGAAAGAGCCACGAAAAGACGGGACTACAGAGAGAGACCCCACTAGAGAGTGAGTTCATTAGTTGACCCCGCATTCAAATCCAGTTTATGTATCCAATACTTTAGAGAGTTCTGGGCAATGTGCTAGACTTGCTTAATGTTAGTGACTGTTTACTTGACTGTTCTGTTGGGTTATACATTATTTAAATCAAATAAACGGATCAAGTGATCTTTCACCTGCCTTCATTAATTTCGAAAAATCTAAAATTTTCTAAACCCAAATTTGAGCTGAAGGTTGAAATTTTCTGTGTGGATCATAAAACACGTAGTTAATAATTGTTGCAAATTTGGAGACGTTCCAGTGACTTTCAAAAGAGAAATCATGAAAAAACCGTTTGTTCATAAATTTCTGGCCACTACTGTATATACGCTTCTAGCAAGGCTATCTATCTGAGACCACGATGTAGTAAAAGCCAGACGCAGCAACGAAATTTGCCATCTGCTACTTACCTTGGCTGCCCATGTATAAGAAAGGTTGGGACTCCTCCGCTGAGGGGCTACTGTCTCGAAAAGAATCCTGGTTCACAATTCATGGAGATTTTGCCCCACGTGAAATGAGCTCAACTCTGATGAAAGGGGTGCGAAAGAGTGTGGTGAACAACTCCTTTACAAGTTCCCTGTACGGCTATCGGAACACGCTGCTACTGCGGTCAAGAATCGACGACTCTGTGTCAACCACAATCGAAACGAGGAGTGGCTGTAACTGGAGAGCCAACAAAGCAAGGAGAGGTTGTCTTGTCGATGTTGGTGAACTAATTTGAGAAAACTTTTGTCTTGCTACGACACTGTGGTTACCCAGGTCACCGTGGCTACCCAGACTGATGGTGAACCTCAGAAACTGCTTCTGCAATCCAGAAAGTATGTCCGCTTTGTCAACAAGTGAGAACGCACTTTTCTAACGTTTCACAGTTTGAGATCATGGGGCCGAGTTGAAAACTTGTATGACATCTACCGGCCAACCCCCTCCTAATTAACATCTAATGTTGTTCTCACTATTC